CCAGACTGCACCGCCCCGGGCCGGGGTCGGGGTGGGAGGTTGGCTGCGGCGCTCCTGCTCTGAGTCAGCCGGGCCTGGCTCCTCCATGAGCAAGGGAAAGGGGAAGTGCCTGCCGCAGGGAGGGGCCTAGCCCCGGGAACCTCAGAAGAGGGAATTTTATTCTTACTCATCGAATTATTTTTATGCTTTGGTTTTTCACTGGGAACCTCAGGCCTTTGTCTCCAGGGCTTGTAACCCTTTGGAGTCCAATGCATGGTGGCTTGACACTGCTGCTGGTTACTCCAAACCTAGGGGAGCAAGGGCTCTCTGTACTTCCCTCACCTCAGACTAGGGTGGCAAACAATAACATTATTGTAACTGCAATTTACTGAACACCTATGACGTGCCGTTCACTCTACTTGCATTACCTCCCTCAATCCTCAGTCTGTCACGTTGAAGTGGGTACCTTTAGCCCAGGGTTACACAGTAGCACAAATGGCAGAACCTTGATAAACCTGGGTGTCCCTGAACCCGAAGCATATGCTAGCACCTCTCATTTCTAGGTCATGGGACTCTGGTTCAGCATTTCCACTTTGCATCCTTCTCTGGGAATCAGCCAGGACTATAAAACACTCAGGAAGGGGCACTAGGGTATTCACTCTGGCAGAAATTGTGACAGGGTGGGGGTCTCCAAGCCTCTGAACCCCATCTGCCTCTTATGGTAGTTCCTTCATCCATCCTGTGTTGCTCTCCTTCACTGGGGGCTCTGAGGACACAGAGCACTCACATACCGCACCAGTTGCTCTGTTCCACCTCACACTCCAATGTCTGTCCCTCCTCGACTCCCAGCTTGAAAAAGGAGGATCAGCTTTCCTCTGAAAGCCCCGTGTCTGCCTCAGCCCCCAGGCCCATAGGTCTGCGGGGACGCCCTTCTGTTCCCCTCCCTCGGTTCTGAGGTGGAACCCCCAAGTTGGTTACTTTGCAAAGGGTGGAAAACACTCAGGGATGCTGCTTTGGGAACTCTTAAGATCCCCCCCCCCCCGATATATGCAAATCACTCCATCATATGCAAAGCGCTTCACAATATACACATGATTTCACAATAACACAGTCAGCATTCCCGCCTCTGGGTGCTGAGGGCTGCTGGCCACCACCAAGGGGATAAGCAAGACCCAGCTGGAAACACCACTTGCTACCTTCTCAATGCCCTTTCCTCTCATCTGGCCTGCAATTTTCACCATCAGCATCAGACTCCCTAATGGATTAAAGAAACAAGCCTATTGGGGGTGGGGATGGGACTCTAGAAGATGACCATGAGCCAGGAGGGCCAAGTGGGTGGACAAATGTGACTGTTAAAAACTGTGAAGTATATCTACCAGAGGTTCCAGGTATGGATGAGTGAGAAAAGAGAGATGCAGTAATATTTGTTTAATATAATCTACTAATTTAAAATAACAACAAAAAAGAAACTTGTATATGTACATGTGGTTATAGGTATCGGTATGTACAAGTCCAAGTATAATTATGAATAAATAAAAAATATAGAAACATTAGAGTGATAATATGTATTCCCTGGGTTGGGGAGGAAAACATATAAAAATATAAAAGGAAATACTGTATAGGACAGGGAACTATATTCAATTTCTTGTAATGAGCTGTAATGGAAAAGAATCTGTATATATATATATATGTATATACATGTATGTATATATATGTATGTATAACTGAATCACTTTGCTGTTTCAACATTGTAAATTGACTACACTTCAATAAAAAATAAGAATTAACAATATATAAAAGGACAAATTTTAAAAACACATTAAAACACATAACGATCACATTTATGCAATTATGTAAAAATAGATATATAAAAGCTTTTATATATATATATTATGGCCTCCTAAATCAATGGTTAAGACAACTAGATTCTAGAACCAGACTTCCTGGGGCAGATTACTTAACTCCCTATGCCTCAGTTTCCTCATCTGTAAAATGGATTACTATATTGAACAGTTATGAATATGAAGTAAATGAATATACACAAAACACTTAGAACTATGCCTGGCATATGGGAAATTCTACTTAAGGATTAGATATTATTATTTACATGTGTGGATACGTGAGTATAAAGAAAAATTACAGTGATGAAAAGAACAGATAAAGACACAGGGTGAGGGCTACTCCTCTCCTCTCCTTGTTGAGCACAGATGAATGTTTTCCAACACATCTGTCAATCCATTTGGAGGCCTCAGGGACTTCCTGGGTGTGGCGCTGGGCATGAGCCTGGATACTGCTTGGCTCTGCGTGGCTGGGAGGCATCTGGGGTTGGGGGGCTGCAGACCCATTTCTCTGATTTCACTGAGCTGCCCAGGGCCTCACTTTAACATGTTGTTTCTGGCTCTGGTATCCTTACTGGGGGCCTTTCTCGGCAGCCAGGCCCTGGCCCTCTATTTCTGGAAGGTGGGACTGCTCCTGAGCCCATTGACCAGGTGATGGTTGCGAGACCAGCATGGCCTGGTGTCGCCAGTGCTCTGACAACCCTCCCCACTCCTTGGGCAGTCCAGGGCTAGAGCTAGAGGCTCTAGGCTGCAGGTGGATGCACATTCCTTCTGCTTCCACAGTGTGGCCTTCTGTGAGACAGCAAGCTTTCTTCTTGTCAGAGCTTTCCGTGGGGATCTGCAGGCAGGCAGCAATCTCTTATAAAAAAGCATCTAAGGCCAAGGGTGCCTGAGTTCATGGCTGAAAAGAGGCAGAGCTGGCTGCTTACCCAGAGCCTGCCCCTCTGGAACTTCCAACCCTAACCCCTTTCAGGTTGTTCTTCCCAGAGCAGCCTTAGCTCCCTCGTGAGTTCCTAGGGTGCCTTCTCCCCGGAGTCTCCAGCCCCGGCCAGAGGATGGCCCCACTAACTCCACAGAACCCCTGCACCAGTGCCCAGTCTCCCATGGGGCGGCCCGTGTGCAGCGTGTACAGCCAAGCCTCACGACTTTCCCCCTGGCCTCTCTGCCTTTACCGTCCCCCTTGTTAACTCCCACCCTACCCCTGGCCTGGCCTGTTCTTCCCTTTCCACCATCTCTGCCGACTGAATTCCAGCCCATTTACAAGGCCGCTTCCTCTCTGAAGTCTTCTGGACCTGTCCAGGTCCTCAGTGCTGTGTGTCTTTGGGGCCCTGAGCCCTGTCCCCTGAGTCCACAGGCCTTCCCCCCAACCCCAGCCCTGGTGGGGTGTTCTGGAAAGAAAGACAAGCTCTTGCCTATACCCTGAAGAGAAGTGTGTTCAAATGAATTTATTGTCTCCCTTTCCCCTCTCCTGCCTCAGGAACGCAAAGTGGGATGAAATCTCCGTGCACTAGGTACTGTAATCTGAGCCTCCGCAGGGCCCTCTTTTATTTATGTTTATTGATAGATTTGCTTACTGGTTACCCTTTCCCCATCCCATCTCCCTGCTTCCTTCTTGATAAAATTTGAATCTTGTCAGTCTTTGAAAAAAACAGAATAGACAATATTCTATTCAACTTGGCTTTTTTTTTAATAAGGGAAAAAGCTGTTTTAAGGGTTTTTTTTAAACATTATTTAGTGATTTTTTAAACAATTATTTTCATATAGGTCCTGCATAACCTTCATAAGTTTACTTTTATGTATTTTACTTTTTGTAATATTTAAAAGAACGTATTTCCCATTATATTTTAAATGTAGCGCATAGGAAGGCAAATTGTTTTTATGCATTCCTTTGAAATCT